TGCATTTCTAATTATTAGGAGTCAAATCAAATAATCTTTGTATCACTCACAGTGCCTAACAGAGTGCCTGACACATAGTAGGTGCAAAACAAATATTTGGGGATAAATGTATGAGCTAATATTTCAGAATTTAAAGTCAATTTAGAAGATTCAGGACCCAAAGGGTTTTCCAGACTTAAAGGGAGAAATATATATGTATATATATATATATATATATATATATATACACATATATATACATATATATATATATACATATATATATGTATATATATGTATATTTGGTCATTTGTTTTGTTTTGTTTTGAAAAAACAACTGGTCTTTATCATTTCTCAATTTCATGTGGATTTAGAGGCACAGCCAAGTAAGGTAACTGGTTACCACCCGGGCCATAGGCATGGGTTCATGCCCAGGCTGAGTTATTCACAGATGCCCTTATTTCTGGCACAGTGACTTTTTCTCAGATAGGTGTGTAATCCATTTAGGATTCGAATGTCTTCCCTGAGATTTCTCAGTGTATAAGTAGGGAGAGAGAAAATAAAAGAGAGAGAGAGAGAGAGAGAGAGAGAGAGAGAGAGAAATTGAAATTATTACTGGCTTTGTCTTTCTCATACGCAAATGGCTTGTCTGCAGCTATAGACAATAAGGTGAACTCTCAGAAAAAAGGAGAGTGAGACTTCCATTGAATTCTCTGGATCCAGCTGTGACTGAAACCAGTCTACCCACGGACTTCCCAATTACCTGAGCCAATGAATTGTCTTTCATTTTTGCCTAAGCTGATTGTAAGTTAGATTGCTCTCATTTGCAACAGGAAGAGTTGCAACTAATACAAATAATTAGTTTTATTTCTTACTGTCTTTGCTTGAAAGTTTTTATTGAAAGTCATGCAAACATAAAATTAATTATTTTCTCTATGTAGACAAGTAGCAAAATCTTATTCTATGTTTTCTTGTTACATGGATTTTTAGTGAAACAAACAGAAGGATCTGAATCTGTAATTTCCAAAGGAAATTACACACAATTAGTGATTCAAATATTTGTTTTACAACTACCTAAATAGGCTTTCATTGTCCTGGGATAGGACATCAATAGATATTATTAAATACCATGTATGTGCAGTACTGCAGCAGATTCAGAAGACAATCTGTTCCCTTAAGGAGTTCACAGTCTAGCAGAGGAGATAAAGCATATGCACACAAACAAACAAAAAATAGAACAGAACAACTCTCTAATCAATAATTCATGCTGGACTTAGAAGTGTGTTTAGAATTCTAAAAGGGAAGGGAAGGAGAGGTGTGGAAAAGGGATGAGGAGTTTCAGTGATGACATAGAATAAACAAAAGCAGAGATGGAAAAGCAAAATGCTTACTTAGAGGCCAATGATCCATCCATTTGGCTTGGGAAGAGATACCTGCAGAGGAGTGATAGATCCCAAGACTGAACAGTTAAGACTGGTCAGATTTTTAAAAGCTTGGAATGTCAGGCTAAGGAGTTAGATTTCAAGTTTAAAGGAAGGAGAGTGGCTATACTTATTGGGGTGGAGTGGGACCTGCAATATGATCAAGCTCTTGTCTTAGGTGATTTAGGATGTAGTGTTACAGTAATCTGCCCTAGGAATTTTTGAGGCAGACGCCAAAGCAGGGAGTCATGCCGGGAGCTATTGAAACACCTCATTGCATGAAGCAATGAGAGCTCAAATGTGGTTAGGGCCAAAAAGAAGGGCAGGGAGAAAACACATGGGAGAGGAAGCAAATTTGGAAGAATGGACAGAAGCCAGGTCTAGACTGGAGGAGGAAGATGAGACAGTGGATTTTGAGTTGGGATGAAAGGTTGAATTGTGTGGAGCAGAATTAGGAACTTCAGAAATTTTACTGTTTAGACACTGCTGTAATTTTACAGTTATTTATGCTATCATTTGATTAAGGTTTTTCTCTCATTAAAGACTATATGCTTCTTTAATTTGAGGACCGTTTCCACTATTTGCTATAGTTTTATATCCAACATTTAGCATGGTATCTGAAACAATAGTGGCTCAGTAAATATTTGCTGAATGAATGAATGTTTAGTTTGATATGTCAACAGCAATTCAGTATAAACATTAAATTATTAATATATTTATTTGAGCAGAAGCTGATATGGTAGCTTGAATCAAATTAAAATGTTAAAGCAACTCTGTAAGAAAAATTATAGAACCAATATTTTCCCCAGTTTTGAGATATGATTGACAAAAATTGCATTTATTAGGGTATATGTTGTGATGTTTTGGTATATGCATACGTTTAAAAATGATTGTTACAATCAATCCACATAACATATATGTAACTGCACATTGTTACCATTTTGTTTTTGTGGCGAGAACTTTTGAGTCTACTCTCTGAGCGAATTTCAAGTTTACGGTACGTTATTAACCATGCTAATCGTGTTGTAGAGCAGACCCTCGTACTTATTCATCTTGTAGCTAAAAGTTGGCATCCTTTGACCAATATCTCCCATTTTCCGCCACCCCCAAACGCTCTGGTAACCATTATTCTACTTTTTGTTACTGTGAGTTTGACTTTTAAGATTCCAGATGTAAATGAGAACATGCAGTATTTGTCTTTCTGTGTCTGGCTTATTTGACCTAGCATAACACCCTCCAGGTTCATCCCTGTTCTTGTAAATGACAGTCTATAGAATGACACTTTTTTAGGCTAAAAAATATTCCATTGTAGAGATGTACTGTATTTTTTATCTATTCAAATGTTGACAGACGCTAATGCTATTTTCATTATTCACTGTTGCAAATAATGCTGCAATGAAAATGGGGCTGCAGATATCTCTAAGATGTTGATTTCATTTCCTTTGGATATATACTCAGAAGTAGGATTGCTGGATCATAGGGTAGTTCTATTTTTAATTTTTAAGGGAAGTTCCCATACTATTTTCTATAATGGTTGTTTTCCATAATGTTCACACCAAATTTACCATCTCCACAGACATTGCCCAAGTGTTCCCATTTCTCTACATCCTTGCCAACATTTTTTTTTCTTTTGACTTTTGATAACAGCCACCATAACAAGTGTAGGGTAATATCTCATTGTGGTTCTGATTTGCATTTCCCTGATGATGAGTGATGTCAAGCATCTTTTCATATACTTGTCCGTCATTTGTATGTTTTCGGAGTAATGTCGATTCAGTAACTTTGCCCATTTTTTAATTGGGTTATTTGATTTAGGCTATTAAATTGTATGAGTTCCTTATATGTTTTGGATGTTAACCTCATATGAGCTGTATGGTTTGCAGATATTTTTTCCCATTCTGTAGGTTACCGTTTTATGCTGTTGATTGTTTGCTGTGCAGAAACTTGTTTATTTTTGCTTTTATAGCCTGTGCTTTGGGTGTTCAATCCAAATAATCATTGCTGAGACCAATGTCATGGAGACTTTCCCTTATGTTTATCTTCTAGGAATTTTACAGTTTCACATCTTATGGTTAGGTCTTTAAATTATTTTTAGTTGATTTTTGTGTATGATATAAAAATAATGGGTTTAATTTCATTCTTTTGTATGTGGATATCCAGTGAGGTAAAAATCATTTATCCAAGTGTCTATCCTTTCCCCATTGTATATTGTCATTTGTAACCAATAAAGAAGGAAATGTTTCCAGGTAAATATTTTCTGAATTGCGGAATGTTACACTAACAACAAAGCTAGTCATCAGAAGTGTTCATGAAGTCAGCCACAAGATTATCACCTGCTTTCTGCTTCAGTGAATTCTGCATAAAGGAACTCTTGCTCAGTAGAATGATGATGCAATTTTCAATTTTGGTCACAATGAGCAACAGGGAATTATCTTTAATTTCTGTTTAAACATCATAATCATCTGGACTTAAAATGCCAGCTGTGTTCTGAACCAGCTGTGTGACTTCAGCCAAGTCACTTTATCCCTCTGAGCTTCAGTTTTCTTATCTGTAATTTTACAGATTATTCCCATTTGGGAATAATAGTACCCATGTACCTGCTTGTATTGTTGTGAGGGTTACATCGGATAATCTATGTGAAGTCTTTAGTGTGGTGTCTGGCACATGGCAGATACTCAGTAAATATTCTTAAATTGCTGTTTGCACTTCTATTGCTATAATTTTTAACTCTACATGTGTGAGTTTTTCGTAGAAGGGATTATGTCTTATGCATCTTATACCTAATATCCAACATGTTGCAACCCCAACACCTAGCTTAAGCATGTTTGCAGACTTGAACTAAGATCCTCCTCTTGAGAATGGTAGATGATAAAAACAAAGGAGCTGTGTAACAAAGAAGTTCAGTCTTTGTAATTATTCAGCTATGTGCTTCAAATTCAGGTTAAAAAAATTTGAAGGCCAAATAATCTTTTTAAACATATCTTACACAGGAAGGTAGATTTAACTATTTAAATGGCAAAAATGTTCTAGAAAAATAATAATGAACCTGTGCAATCAAAGGTGATCTTTACTATTGCTTTGTTCAAAATAGTCTTCTCATCTAAAACTGCTTTTATATATGCAACTTTGTGAGATCTTTTTATATTTCTTGTAATGGAAAACTTGAATGACATCATGTTATTAGGAATTTATCATAATATATAATACATAAAATTCCTTGACTTATGGAATGACTAAATACGTGGAATAATTTGCTATGTTATAGTGAGCTTCTCTTCTTTGTGGATTACATGAATGCCTTAGAAGGTCAGTAGCATTAATATTTCTACTGGAGAACTTTCATTTTAAAATATATTATAAAAATGACTTTCAATAATAGCATAACATATAAAACATTTTCTTTATTGGAGAAATTATAAAACATTTTTGCACCACTTACTGTTGTAATTTAGGCTGAAATAATGCCAGTTATTTTGCTACTCTGCTGAAGTCCCCTTTTTTGAGCCTACACTGAACCTGTAATACTTATGGAAAGAGTTACCATAGCAACCTATATTGATGTCACAAGCTCAGGCTTCTGACTTCATTGCATAATGCAGTAGCAACTGGATTTGCAGCAGAAACACTCTGCTACAGAACAAGTGTCTTGGTTCACAGCAAAGAGGACAAAGAAAACAGCAAGTTTTAGGGGGTTGAATCCTGGATTGTGAGTCAGATTGCCTGAGTTCTTATTTTAATCCTGCCTCTCACTTGTTGCCTTGTTTTGAGTAATTGTGTTTACATGTGTGCACTGAGGTTTGAAGCAAGAAATCTTCCATCTCTAGGATGGACAGAGCAGAGAAAAATTCAGGATATCTAATGTTTTGCATTTGGTAGAAAGCTCAGTAAAGCTAAATCTCCCTAAAAATAACTTGGCAGGAAAGGAACTACTAATGCTCTGTAGTATGTATCTAGCTAGCTCACAAAGATAAAAAGGACACTTTGAAATTAAAAAGCATCTGGCTGGGTTTTTAATTTTTACTTTTTGAAATAGTAATGAGTAAAGGACAAGATTAATGTCCTACTCTTAATTTTAATAAGAATATAGAGAACTTGTACATAAATATGTCACTATATCTATGTAAATATATTAACATAAAGATATATTTAATGGGTATGATGCTTCTCATGTTTATACTGTATACATTAAAAATAACTGTTTTTACTTGTATCATATAAATATTGATTCTTATTAGAAAACAACTGAAGAAGTGAAATGGCCTTGCTAATTTAAGATGACATCTTAAACAAATCCTAATGATACATTTCTTAAAAAGACCTAAGCTTTCCATTGGAGCCTGTAACCTGTTCATTATTTCTATTGGTCTGGCTTCTTGTTTAAACATTAATTTTAGAATTGAGATATAAATATTTTGGGATTTGAAAAGGCACTTAAACAAATCAACATCCACACCAGAGACTGAGGTGAAAACATGATATGTCTTTTTATTTTTATTTTCTCTAAGGTAAAAAGGCTGGGCATTTTGATAAGGAGAGCTATGACCCTTTATAACCTTTCTATTCATAAGCTTCAATCATTCCAAACTATCAGGAAAAATATAACATGCTGTAAACTTCATTAGCTCAATTCTGCGTTGAATAACCCCCATGAAGACACAATTTGTTATGTCTTAGGAAATTCCTAAGTTACTATTGAAAAATGTTGAGTGAGGTAGAAGCTGGGGGCATATTTTTGAATAAGCATGCATGTGCAATTAAGCTCCACATTATGATGGAACACAAGCATTTGTATGAGATACAAAACCATCTTTTAAAAGCCAGAATTTAGTGTACAGTGTTTTATACAACATATATAAATACAAATCCATTCTTTCATTGTAGGCATCATGCCTACCAAATTAGCTAATGTAACATTTCTTTTATAGTAACAAAAACTTGTGTGTTTGTGTGCGCTTAATTCAACAGATTTTTATTCACTTTATTGACATGAAAATGTCCTAAATGTACATAGTAAGGTTTTGTAAAAGAACAGGTTGGCCCCCATTTTTTTTTTGTCTTAAGAGAACAATATTGGTAACTTTCTGGACTCTATGTAGTCCATGCTAAATTCTACCATTTCCTAAATACAACTTCTGCAAATAGCAGAGACTAAACATCCATTGCAAAATCATGAATATTAAAGAATCATATGTATAGAAGAAGCTTTAATTTATTGACCAAACTGAGATCTGATAGATTTAAATAACTTTCCCAAAGTTAATTGGTAGAAGAATCCATACCTCAGCCAAGCACTTCCTCTGTCACATTAGACTCTCTGGATCCTGCTGGACCACTTCTATCTAGAATCACCTCCTTGACTAATCTTGAAAATTCTGTACTGTCCATTTCTGGAAATCTGTTCGTTTAGCTAAGCTTGTGAGTATAAACTAAATTAGGCTATTGATTTGGTTATTCAGTTAAATTTATTCAACATTTTGAAATGTCTGCGTGTTCAGAGTTTTGTAGTATATAAGAACAGCATAATATTTATAAAACTCTGGTGGGGTGATGTTACTTCGAAAAGTAAAACAACCAGGAAAGAAAATTGGGTGCACAGTAATGCTGTCAAAATCATATGCACATAAACTCAGGGAATTCCAGGAAAGGGAATTATTAGAGGCAATGAGTTGAGTCCATGGACTTAGCCAAAGAACATTTCTTAGTGGTATAATATTTCTTACCTCTTAAACCTCCTTCTGTTCTGTGTCTCTCTTGCTCCCCCCTCACCCTCACTATCTTTTTTCATCATACAAGTAGTCCATGTTTATTGTTGAAATAGTAGGTAAAAGAGTTGAACAAAAATAAAAGGATAATTCTATGATCAAGAGATTTTCTACAGCATCTTCTGCGTATCTCTTCTCAAAACGTTTTAAGCTCACCTTCAGGCTTAAATGTTATTTTTTAAAATGGGAGCATGTTCTGCATATTACTTTGTAATATTTTCTTCTTATATAATAATATTGTGTGATGATGTTTTTGTGATTATAAATATTTATCTGAATTTCAGTTACATGAAGTTCTATATATGACTGTACCATAATTCATTTAATCATTTTGCTATTTTTAGACTGTACTCATTACCAGTTTCTTGCTGACATAATTTATGTGTAAATTTAAACCTACATGTGGCCAGTCGCAGTGGCTGTAATCCCAGAACTTTGGGAGGCCGAGGCGGATCACTTGAGGCCAGCAGTTTGAGACCAGTCTGGCCAACATGGAAAACCCCATATCTACTAAAAATACAAAAAATTAGCTGGATGTGGTGACACACACCTGTACTTGGTTACTCTGGAGGCCAAGGCAGGAGAATCACTTAAACTTGGGAGGTGGAGGTTGCAGTGAGCCAAGATCACGCCACTGCACTCCATCCTGGGTGACAGATCAAGATTCTATCTCAAAACAAAACAAAAAAATACCTTTATACAACCTTGAACACTTGTTCATTTTTTAAATTTAACTGAAAACAAATTTGTTCAAAGTCTTTGAGATATAATTGACATACACTCAGATGTTTTCTGATTGTAAATCTCTAGATGAGGAAAAGCTGAGTCAAAAGGTATAAGGGGTTTTACGAATTTTAATACATGTTGAAAAACAGATTGCTAGAAATACATCATTGATAATGTCATAAGAATGAGACGTATTTCCCTGTATCCATTCTACTATTGGATATTAGCATAATTTTAAATCATAGCAAAGTGCTAGAGAAAAAAATAGTACTTTAATAAAATTTGTGTTGTTTTTGTGAGATCTTCTAATGTTGAACAGATTTTCATATTTCAATTTAATTCAATTAAAATTCAAATTTCTTTTTATAATTGACTATGTATATCCTTTTGTTAGATACCTATTGGGTATTGGTCTATTTTTTTATTAATTTAGAAGGGTTCCTTTGATATTAGGTTATAATTGCCTCCTATAATGCTAATTAGTATTCTAGTTCGCCGTTTGTCTTTTAACCATGGCTTTCATTCATTTCCTGCTCTTCCATATTTTTACATATGTAATCCATTGGCGTTCTCTTTTATGGTTTCTTCTTTTGGCATGAGCCTCCAAAAGATCATATAAATATTTGAATATTTTTTTCACAGTATTGATTTTCTTTTCATTTAATTTTTTCTTCTAGAATTTGTTTGGACTTAAGTAAGATATATTCAAATATTTATTTGAATATTTTTCCAAATGTTTTTTCCCCACTCTTCTCAAATCCAAAATTTTTATGTAATTTAAAAAATTCTGTTGCGTAATCTAGTGTCAGTATCATAATTTTATTTTATTATTGTTTAATACTTAAATAATTGCTTACTTGCTTAAATAAAACAATTGTTTTATTGTTTAAAACTTTTGGTATCATACTTACAATAATGTTGTAAAAAGAATTATAAAATGTATGCCTCTTCTTCACTGGGTATGCAAAAAGGGGATATTGCACTAAATCGTTTCCTTTTATTTGCTTTTTAAATCCAAGACTCACAATTTTATCTTTGTTGTATCTAGTTGAAATTAATTTTAACTGCTATATTATATTTTTTCATTGACTGTATAATATGTTGCCTTATCTTTTCAGGAGGCATTTGGTTAGTTTATCTTTATTCAGTGCATTACACGAATCTAGTAAGATTAAACTTTTTTTTTTTTTTCTTTTTGAGATGGAGTTTTGCTCTTGTTACCAAGGCTGGAGTGCAATGGCGCGATCTCGGCTCACCACAACCGCCACCTCCTGGGTTCAAGTGATTCTCCTGCCTCACCCTCCCAAATAGCTGGGAATATAGGCACACGCCACCCACCCAGCTAATTTTTGTATTTTTAGTAGAGATGGTGTTTCACCATGTTGGTCAGGCTGGTCTCAAACTCCTGACCTCATGATCTGCCTGCCTCAGCCTTCCTAAGTGCTGGGATTATAGCTATGAGCCACTGTGCCTGGCCTAGTAAGATGATTTTATAGTTTTTATCCTTAAGCTGTTAGTGAAATAAATTACACTGGTAAATTTTTTTTTAATGATAAACGACTTGCATTATTGGCATCAACTCTCATGACAGTATCATTTTATAGATTATGGGGGTTTACCTTAATGATATTTTTATTTAGGATTTTCACATCTGTGGTCTTCAAGGATATTTTCCTTTCTCATATTATTCCCAGTTTTGATATGAGGATCATACTTGCCTTAAAAGATGAGATTGGAGCATTCCTTCTTTCTTTCTTTCTTCTTCTTTTTTTTTTTTTTTTTTTTTTTTGTGGAAAGGAAATTTTATCTGTTCTTCTATCTATGGTAGAATTTCTTATGAAACTGTGTTGGATTTTGCTGTTGTTCTTGTTTTCATTGTTTGTTTTGGGGACATGTAACTCCTTGAATTATGGTGAAATTGCCTGTAAAGCTATGTGAACTTTCATTGTTCTTATTCTTGTTTGTTTTAGGAAGGGATGGAAGAATATGTAATTTACTGGTTTCAGTTCCTCAGTGGTTATATAAATCTATGTATATATGATTTTATTTGGTAATTTTCTACTTAGTTTTGTTTGGTAAATTGTATTTTTTCTAGAAATTTGTTTTCTTTATTTTCAAGTATTTATTAGTTTTATCTTTTGAATGTCTGATATATAGACCTTTTAAGTTAATGTTTTATTTGTGTCTTTTTTTATCAGTAACACTAAGAAAAATTTTC